TCACATCAGGAAATAAGTCTCATCCAGTACGCAGGTAATAATATTCCCAGTTAAGGGAGAAGAGCTCCTCCTCTTCCCTACTTCCCCTTGCTGAATTCCTTCATTATCTGTCCTTGTACCGAAGCTAGCTATCTAGGAGACAACTTTAATTTCTCCCTTTTTATTCCCCTCCATGATCATATTGGTGCTTGTTGCTAAAGGGGGCCCTGTATTACTACATTCCTAGCCAAGGGTTTTATGCATTTACTTAAAGTTTGGAGGCAATCACTGAAGGAAGATACAATTACACTCATTTTGGTATAGGAAATGGGTTGGAGGGATGGCGACTTGAAGTAGGGAAACTGGTCATGAGGCTGTTGCTAGGGTCCTGATGAGAAAGATGGAGCTCTAAACTAAGGTGGTGGAGAAGGGTGAAAACTTTAACAGATACCAAGGGCTGATAGAATGGGAGTCATAGAGACTAGATGTCAGGTATAAGGAAGTGGGTGGAATCAAGGACCATCCCTGGTTTCCTATTTGGACAGTTCATGGATAATTGTGGAAGTCACTGACATGGGAGTACAGGAATCAAAAAGAGAAAAATAATACATTCAAGAGAGTTCTGTGCTTCCTAGAATTCATCAGACCACAAACCACCATTATTATCAAAAATAACAATCACGTGTGAGTGATTGTGTGACGTGCCAGAGATTTATAGATAGCTAAAACGTAATCCTTTTCTGAAAGAGGTTTCACCTCAGGCCAGGTTGTTAAGTTGTGTACATACATAGATGAAAATGTGTGGCAGGCACACAAAGTGCCAAAAGGTGGTTTGGGTGATAAATTTTCTAGGCACTCAAAACCTACTTTTCTACCCTTATTTTCACTTCCTGAGAAGCTCTAAGCTCCAGCTAAATTACAGTTTTGTATTCCTTATTCTTCGGCTACCCCTAAATTTTTCTATCTCCACATCTTGTTTTTAATCTGCTTTCTCTGCCTATGTAGGTCTTTGTTTCTTAAAACCCTATTCAGTTCTCAAATTTTAGGTCAAAATACAAATCCTTCTCTCGTTCCCCCAATCAGAAATGATCCTTTATGAAGCTCTGTATTTGTGCCATTTTATTGAACTTTTTACCCAGGCTGTATGATAGTTATTTTAGCACATGTCTTACATCATTCGTGTTGCTCCCTGCCCCCATCCCCCCCACCGTGCTCAGTTTCTTGTACTGAAACCACATCTCATCCGTCTCACCCATATTTGCATCCCTTGTAATGCCTCGGCTGTCAATACATGTATGTGTTTTCAACTTACTAGTGGGCTTGAAGTGTCAGAAACAAGGGGTAATGATCAGCATATAAGATGACACTTGAAAGTTATACTTTCTCAATTTCCTGGCATGCTAATATGTGAATTGAATACAATTTACTCTTGGGGACAAGTATATTAGGCACTGTATGGTCAGGCCACTCAAGATGGTCGTTTTCTTGCTCTGTACATCTCCTGATCCACCAAGTCCTGCTTCTCTCACATGAATATCCAATCCCCTTAATTATAGGGCCTAATTAGTAACTGCCTACGTGCTCACCCCCTGCCCCAGCTGCTGATTTCCCTGGTAACTGAGCCAACATGACGTCAGTTCCCCTATAAATGGTAGCCTCTTTCTCTGCCCGCCCCGCCCCGCCCCACCCGGTAGTGAAGGACGCTACCACGGCTTGTCTGCCTGCTCGCCCTCTGTTGTAAACAGTGGGGTGTCGCTCCAGGACCTTTTGCTTAAGAGTCCCCGTCCAAAAAACCACTGAGTCTCTGTTGCTGTCTCCAGGCTCTTTGGTCCCAAGGCTGGGCAGCTATAAGGCTTGCAGGCCTGCGAAGTGCAGCCCAACCACTGGTGAGCCAACCAGGAGGCCGAAGAAACTCCCGTGAGTGCCGAGATGTCGGAAAATAAGGCTGGGGTATGGAAAGTTGCAGAGGTGATCCTGGGGAGGCCGTCCACTAGCATGTGGGGCTCTGTGGCAGCTGACTACCATGGGAGATGTTTTTCTCTTCCGTCATACTGATGACATCCTGTTAACCTTAGAGCCTTCTTCCGGTGTGAAAGTAGCAGCCCCGTGCTCGTGGCTCATCTGACTGCATGGGGATGGCTGGTGAATACAAAGTGTAAGAACTTGGCTTATCTATCAAGTACTTGGATGTTAGCTGGTCGGGTAAGACGAGCATACCCACGACCCACCACCCCTAAACAACTACAGACACAGGCTTTAGGGGTGTTACCTCGGGACAGGCTTGTCAGTTGGAGGTGGCCAGTCCACCAGAGGGTTTGGCTGGGGCATGTGGCAACGGCAGAATGTCCTTGGCTTCTGGTTCAGCTGCGGAAGGGGGCAGAGCAACAGTATTGTTTCTTGGAACAGCTGTGTGCAGTCTACAGTGCGTTACAACAGGTGGAAGCCATTACTCGAGGTCTACGGAGTCATAGAGTAATGCAAAAAAACCCCACTTTAGGGGCTTCCCTGGTGTCACAGTGGTTAAGAATTCACCTGCCAATGCAGGGGACACAGGTTCAAGCCCTGGTCCGGGAAGATCCCACATGCCGTGGAGCAACTAAGCCCGTGCGCCACAACTACTGAAGCCTGCGCACCTATAGCCCATGCTCCGCAACAAGAGAAGGCACTGTGATGAGAAGCCCGCACACCGCAACGAAGAGTAGCCCCCGCTCGCCGCAACCAGAGAAAAGCCTGCATGCAGCAATGAAGACCCAATGCGGCCAAAAAAAAAACCCCTACTTTACTGGTCATGAAGTTCAGGAATGGGCCAATACAAATGCCGTACACTGACATTTCCCCCTGCCCTACAGCCCCTGTGCTGCTGGGCTAATTGAAAGGATGAAGGGACTGCTCAGCAACTGACACAGAAAACTCTCTCTTCCAACATGAGGACATGTCCCAGGAGCAATCGTCCCAGTGCTAACGCCCTGTTAACCCAGAGGCAACTAGTCAACGCAATCCAAGCTCAACTGTCGACCACCTACCGACTGCTGCCAAACGGTCGGTCAGGCCAATAACTTGCTTTTGCCCTTGACACACTTGCTTTTGCCCTACCCCCAGGGGAACACATCATAAATGACCCTAGGACTGGCAGGTAAGTCCCCAGTGGTTTGGGTTTGCTGCCTTGTGGGGAAGAGGATTAGAAAGGGATTTACAGATCTCACTGTCTTCTACCCAGCCCCACCTAAAACTACTAAGGTAATTAATCCAGGCCCCCTACTGGAGAAAGGCACTATCATATTAACCCCGTGGTCCGTTGCTACAGGTGTCTCCAGTGTTCGGCACTGGCTGTGGGGACTGAGGATGGAGAGGTGGTGGGGTACTGCAGGCCAGGACGAAAACCACATGCAGGGGCAATGTGATCTCAGCGTGCTCTTACTGCTTGTATTTTGCTTAATAGTCATGATCTCCCCTGTGTTGTGCCTGTTAAACATCTTGCCTTCCCTCCTTAGTCTAAGTGGAGGGAATCTGTGGACTGGGTGACAGTGGTGGCCTCACTGTGAAATGAGTTTGATTGGGTCCCTGTCGCGAGAGGACATTTTCATCCTCATCTGGACTTCCATGAAAAATTGACCTGATAAGCGCCTGGCTCCAAAGTTTGCCCACCTCTTGGACTCGTGATACTCCTAAGCCTCTGGTGTCTGTATTACATGTGTGGTATTTGGTTGGAGTGTGCCTCTGTATTCCTGACCCCAGGGATATCACGGAAAAGGGGCGGATCAAGATTGTAAGGCTCCTGCAGGGTGTGTAGGAGTGGAGTGTATCGTCAGGCCATTCAAGATGGCTGCTCTCTTGCTCTCTGTACATCCCCTGCTCGAGCAGGCTCTGCTTCTCTCAGGTGACTCTCCAATCCTCTTAATTATAGAGCTTAAGTAGTACCTGCCTATGTGTTTGCTCCCTGCCCCAGCTGCTGGTTCCCCTGGTAACTGAGCCAACCTGATAGCAATTCCCCTTATAAATGGTAGCCTCCTTCTCCTCCAAGTTGCAAAGCTTGCTGTCATGTCCTGCCTGCCATTTGCTGTAAAACGTGGGATATTGCTCCAGGACCTTTTGCTTAAGATACCCTCTCCAGTAAACCATGGATGTTTCCACCGCTGTCTCCAGGCCATTTCTTTGGTCTCAAGGCTCGCAGGCCTGCAAGGTGCAGCCCAACAGGCATACAGTGTAGATATTAACTGAAACCTAGCAGAATATGTAAAACCTAAAAGTGGTGCAATGAGTAGAGTGTTAGATGCAATGATAACCATTCACCCCTAGTTGAAATCGTTTTCACACAAATCCCGCTGATGAAATGTATATATTTAAAATTTCACTCCTTTATTTTTCCTTGTGTAAAATTACCTGCAGAGTAACAAAGAACTCTTATTTGTGACAAAGCAGCCTGTTTCTGACTGTTGTGCTCTTGAGTAGGACTGGTGACCTCTTAGGGAACAAACAAGCCTTACTATGGAATAAATTTATTTTTAATAGCAACTTGACGCTTGAAGAATTTGTAGGAAAGAAAAATACTCAAGGCTGCAAGTAAGACTGATTAAATAAAAGTTGGCTTTTGATTACCTGGAAGGCATAGCTATTAATCCTTTACAAAGCACAGATTTTATTCATGTCCATTGAGGTGACTTTTGTGGATGTTTCCATTGAAAATTTTCAGCAGTTCTTCTGATGCCATGTGTTAACTGAAGTCCACATTGATTGCTCTTGATTTCTCAGAATCTTTTATGTCCTGATATGTAAAGGGGGCTCCAGAATTTCTTAATGGGAGAACTTTAGACAACAACCAGACAAGTCTTCCTGGCTGAGAGGAAGGGCAATGGAACATGCTGCTGCATTTGCCTCACAAGCTTACTGTACTTACATGGGTTGTATTTAGGGTGTCTTTGGGCATTGATCTTCTTCAAGTCAAACAGACAAGAAAAAAAGGCCACAGTCAATATTAGAGCTGTATTAATTTAAACGTCTTTGTTACTTTCATATTTTTCTAGGTCTTAGAAGACCGTCTTCAAAAGCCGAAGATGAGGTTCACACTTACACGCTGGTGCTTGACCCTCTTCTTCTTTCTGAATGTAAGTGAAACAAAGTTATTTTAAGCTATGTTAATCAAGAATGCTGAGATAGTATGATTATGATTGGGCATTTGCAAGGGTAGACATTGTTCTCCAAAAACCAAACTATAATTTTCTTTAATGTTTTGTTAACAAATCTCCTCTTAATATTATTCAAGGAAAACTATTACTAACATTTCATACATGTTAATTTTAAGGGAATTTACATTTTGTAATGTTATACGTCAAACTTTATGGGAATGATTGCTAATGTAGCCCTTCTGTACCTGTTTGAATGAGGATAGTTTATTTTATTATGTAAGGCTGTCATGTTATTTTAATCTTCAGATAAAGTACAGTATAATTTGCTAAAAGTAATCCAGTACTTGGAAATGTAGATACCTTCATGCTCTTCAAAATAAATTTTAAACAAGAATATTGTAGAAACTACTGGAATATTTTATCTCGTCTGTAAATGTCTAAGCCTTATGTCATATTCTATAGATGCAGAAATATTGGTATATTCTATTCATACTGATATTATTCATCTCAAATGAAATCCTATGTGATCAACTATGTGTACATATTTTTAAATTTCATAAAGCATATAACTAGACATAGATAGAAGAAATCATAAAGTAACTACTAGATAATAAGAAAGTTTGAGTATTATCCAGTCACCGTTTTTTGTTTCTTTTACAAAGAGTATATAACTTTTGGTATGTTTAAAAAAAAAAGTCACTTTTCTCAAAACTCTTACCTAATACATTTTAAAATTAAAAGACTGAAAGAATTTCATATATTTGCATGAGCACGACAGGTGTCTTATGGTTTGTGGGCATTTTTTTTTTCTTACTAGCAAGCATTGCATAGGGTACTTAAATGGCTTTGTGCTCTCTTCACTGTAACATAAATTTTGCTTCTGTGTGTTTGGATTACCTATTGGATTTGGAGGATTTGTCCATAAAAAATTTCATACATCAGTTTCCTTCTAAAACACTCGTTATGTTCCACATTGATGCTCTCTATAGAAAAGAAAATTTTTAAACGACGTTGACCTTAATTATTCTAAAATGTCACTTCTTGGATACATTACTAACCACTACCAATATATTTTTGAATTCTGACCTGATTTCCAAATGGCCTTTAAAAACTATCGGTTTGTGTCACCGCATTCCATTAGCCTCATCTACTTTTACCAAAACTACCCACTCACTTTCTCTTCTTACCTGCAGTAATACAATAGGCTTAGAACAGTGCTTGGCACTTAGTGAGTGCTAAAAAGATGGTAGTGATGACAATGACAACAATGATGAAGACATAATGCTTCTCAGAAGAACCTACTTTATGTTGTTGTTGTTCACTTAGCTGTATTCCCCTATTTGTGTTGAGTTTATGATAATATACGGCAGTTTTGTTTATATAATGCTCAGGTAGAAAGTACATAGGACACCAACCAGGCATCTGATCCTACCTGGAAAAAGCAGGGCTAACACTTTACAAAGCTCTATTTTATCCTTTGTTATTTTGAAAAGTATGAGTGACTGAAAGCTACAAGTAATCTGAACGTAGACATTATCATTATTAAGCATGGTGACATGGAAAGTTGTTTACATCAGCTTGTGGATTCTGGATTCATAGTCCTGTTAGAGCAGTTCTGTCTGTGGCAATCAATAGGAATGTCTCCCTTCAACCCGGTAGCATGGATCCCCACATTCAGTAGGTTTGGACCATTCCTCAAAGTTCTACACAGAACAGCTCTCTACTTGTTCTGTCTCTGTACTTCTAGAAACCACCTGGAACACACAAGGAGGCTGATTGTCTTAATCAAAGTAGGAATTGCTTAAACACAAAGTAAGAATTGCTTAAACACACGGCCATTCAAATAGATTGCTTTACCTCTGGACCCCATGATTAGTGTGGATGAAACTTTCTAGAATGTAAGCTCCATGAGGGCAGGGACCTTGCCAGTTTTGTTCATTGCTGAATCTTCAGAACCTAGAACAGTGCCTGGCATGTGGGAGGCACTCAAAATATTAACTGAAAGAACAGTGATGTTTCGGCTGCGGACTACAGCTGTCAGTGGCAGCTTGGTGGTCGTATGTGTGGCGCCATCTACTGGAACCTTTAGGAGTGACATCACATATACGGTGGCTAAACTGCTACGTAGGACAACAATTAAGAGGTGGTTTTTGTTTGATTTTGGAAGAATCATGCAAGATGGCTTGAATGCAAAACTTTGAATTTCAGTCTTTATTCAGAAAAGCAACATGCCCTTAATGTCTCATTTCGATCTTCATGTGAGCATAAAATTATATATTTACATTCCACAAATACATAGAATAAACATAACACTTATGATAAGCTGAATATTGTTTTTCACATTGCTTGGTGGTTTAATCACTACTGCTTCTGTTTTACCCCTTTACTGCTGAAAATTATACCACCTCACTAGCTATTTTTAACTGTATGAAATAATTAGCAGAAAGTTAATGAACTTTATGAAATTTACGTGTTATTTTAAGCAGTAGTAATTCCATGATCAGAATTATATAGATGTAAGGGCTATATATTTATATCTACATATATCTGTATGTTATATACATAACAGAATGCCTCAGTGTATATGTTATTTTCCAAAGAAAATCACTGAAACATTCAGCTACCACTGGAAAAATTACATCGTCAATGCTCAAACATGAACCAGACCAGGAGTGGCCTCAGATTATTATGGTTCTTCTAAGGGCAGAAGTTCTGATTCCTCGTTCCCTCAGTGTTGAAACAATCTCTGCTGAACCAGGTTACAGGAAGTTCACTGGAGTTGTTTCAACATTGGAGGAATGATAAGATCGATGCTACTGTCGTCTACGTGAACTACACCTACTTTTTGAGATGGTCATATCTCCGCTATTACTGGTGTTAAAACTGCATTAAACCAAATAATGTTGTCATTGAAAATACAGGTATAGGGTTTCCAGTTGGCTATTCTTGCACATACTGCCTCCCCGTGGCCTCCATGAATTTCCAACTAACACAGGAACATTTAATTGGTTGCTTAGTCCATTTAAAAGTAGAATTCAGAATGTTACTTCTGGAAAGAGTGTCAAACTTAAGCAAAGTAGTTCCTAATGTCTAAAATATCTAATAAGTGACAGAAAAGATTTATATATAACATCATAATACATCTTCTAATTTGATTTGAAGATGGTGGGGAAATGACCCAGAAATAATATCAAATGATGATTTTCATATCAACTCAAGATTCTAAGAATAGAGCCACAAAGAATCAAATAGATGCATAAGCTGAACCAATCATTTGTATCTTATTGTGAGGACACTGTAATCAATTAAAGATCATGGTTACATGATCTGTAGTCAAATTATTAAAACACACATTCATACAAATGTAGGGTAATAAAATCCAAAAAGAAGCCTTTACATGAAATGTCTTCAAAATACTTTTCCTTACTCCCAAACCATCTCTCAATTCCTAATGGAATATCTGAGCATTTAACGATTAATAATTCTTTACCTTTCACAGTTTCTGGTGTCTGGAAATATTTATAGCGTTGGTCTTTCTTGCTGGATTGTAAGTTCCACGAGGGCAGGATCTGTGCCTGTTTTACTCAGCACTGTATCCTCAGCCTCTAGCTCGATACTTGGCTCATCAAGTTCAATGACTATTTGCTGACTGATCTTAAAACCAGTGGGAAAGGGGTCATATTACAACATAATGTTGTTCAGCTACATTGGTAAAGGATTTGTACACCATTAATAATCTTTGTCAGTTCATTAATTTCTTGTCACAAATTCTAGAGGCATTAAAATTAGAAATAATCCTAACACTTAGTGTCAAATATATTCACAATAAGTATTCATCTACAGTTATAACAGTAATGTTATAACAATAAGTATTCACCCTCTTCTGTTTGCAAGTGATTTCTACTCAGATGACTTGCTGGCACCCCCAGATCTAGTCCAAAAGAGAACTTACCTTCTCCTCCGAGTAAGGTTTTCCTTTCTTAATGTCTTCTCTTTCTCAAGATGCTACCTTTTTTTTTTCTAGCCGTATAGGCTAAAATATCTGGGCTATTTGACTCTTACTGTTCTCCATTCCTTATATTCAAATATACCTCGGTGCTTTTATTACTTGAGAAAGTGCTGAATTGCTCTCTCTTGTTCCATCTTAAGGTGATCTAGTCCATGCCTTCAGCTGCCTGGCTGGCCTCCCCAGCACTAATCTGTGGACATCTGATGCCTACCACATGAATTTTATTAACATTCTCCTTTCGCAACCTTCACTGATCAAAAAACTGCAAGACAGCTTTATTTCATCATGTTTTTATAATATTTGCTAAAATATATTGAGCCTTTCATGTCCCAGACGTTTTGTATTCGTTCTCACAGGGCCCTGTATTATCTGATTTTCCTTGATTTCATATCTTACCCTCAGTATGGTTTCAGTACAGTGTTTCACACATACCATTTCCTTCCTCTGGACTTACCTGCATACCTTTCCTACCATCCACAAAGCCTTCCGTCTCCTCTCTGCCTATGTGATGGTACATATACTCAAGATCCAATTCAAATTCTACCTTGTATCTGTAGTCATTCCCAACTATTCTTCCCCCATGCTCTCTCTCTACTCTGAATTTTTATTGTTTAGTGCTCTGTACAGTTTAGCCTTTAGTGATAGGCTGTCTCATAGGACAGGATGCTCTGTCTACACAATGAGATACACTGGAAAACAGTGAGGCTCTACCAGGAATATCCTGGGGTATACAGGTCAACTTAATAAAAGATGTTTATTTTAGAGACTGTGGAGAATAGAGAAAGGTACATAACACTATTTCTGCTATCAGTACATTGGGGAAACTTCAGTCTTAGAATAATTCAAACAGAATAAGGCCAATTAAAAGTGTTTCAACAGGTGTAATAGAAAGCAAGGAGAATTTCTAACTTCAGAAAAAGTCAATGCAGGCTGAAGCTTGCAAGTCTTCTCCAAAAAAACTCTATACAGAACATGGATATAAAAAATCAGATTCAAGCACTACTAAAAACATCAGAGCCACAAAAGAAATTGAAATCTATCTAAACACAACTTAGGACAATTTGTCAGACATTCATCTTTTCAGATACATACACACACAACTTAGATTAATGGGACCTATGATGGTAGTGAAAACTAACAGACTGACAAACTTAATGTCAGTCTGTACTGAAAATTCAAAAGCTCTAAGAGAAATATTTAAGATTTACATAGATTTTCAGCAGTGAAAATGATACCTTGTATAGGTCATCGGCTGATGAAACCAATTTAAAGAGATTAAGGCCAATTACCTAAAGCAGACTATTTCAGAAGAACAGATTTTATTTGTTCTATGGAATAAATGGGGTAAATTTTTGGCAGTGTGTGCGATCTAAGTACAAACAAATCAGCTGAAAGGATCCAATTAAAACGTATTTATTGCACTAATATAGCTACTTTAAATGACATGATTCGTGATTCTTAGGAGTTCCAAACAAAGCAAAGTTGATTTAATGTATTTTGGAAATCAGGTTATTTGCTTTGTTTACTTCTAAACTTTACTCTGATAAAATTAAAACAATCTTGTAAAGAGGTGCATGAGTTTGTGTGGGTGCTCCACATTTTCAAGAGTGAACAGAATGAAGGCAAATGGGAAAACTTTAGGTAGAATTTATAGATGAAATGTAAATACACTTTCTAATTATAAAGCAAAAATATTCCACATGGAGACCATGCATAATTGTTGCTTACAGAAGGAAAAATAAACATTTTCATATTTTTTGATTGTTTCATTATGTATTCACCCGTCTCTACTCCCCATAAGTAACTCAGTTTCCTTTCTAATACAGCGCCCAATTCCGGTTCTTCCTGCCACTTCAGAGGTCACCCACCCTCCAACAATAGAGCCGGAGCCATTTCTCTACCTTTTAGGAAAGCAGAGACTGTTGGAGGCACAGCACAGATGCTATGACCGAATGCAAAAGTTACCCCCATACCAAGGAGAAGGTAAAAGAAAGGACGTATGTGAATGTGTGTTTCAAACATCAGGAAAGGCTTATTTTCTTCTGTGCGTAAATATGTGTTGACTAATTTTAATTTAATATGCCAATAGTTTTAACAGTGGCTTTCATACCGTGGTATGTTTGAGTATTTCATACAGCAGACATGCCTAGTTTCTTTGCTCAAGTTCACCTGACTGCTTTTTGGCGAATATCTGCATTTACGACAAAATTACTACACATAGCCCAGTATTCACCCATGGCGAGCAGGAACAATATAGGACTATGTGAGGGAAGGAAGTAGAGAATAACAGGAGGAGAGTTGGAAAATAGTGGGCAGAGAATTAGCCTGAGGCAGAGCCTATCAAAACTGTCTTGCTTGGGTTAATTAGGTAGTATCTTCCCTTACCTGTCAATTGGGTGGCAACTCATGCTAATCCTTCTCCTTTTCTACCCCCAGTTCCCAGAGGAATTAGAAAAAGGTATCTCCTGGGCAGACGTTGTTTATCTATCACCTTCTCTAGAATGCTCTGTGTGACTGCCCAACTATTCTTAGCACCAAGCATATTCTATTAGCTACAGAGGGCCCAGGGGAAAACAAAAGAGAGGATGTGATGACCAAGCATTGCTACATTCATTTAAATTCTCTCCCCTGACCCCTAAAGCACTTGAAAAGACCCAACAAGATCTTCTACACCCTACTGTATTCTAAGACAACACACTGCTTCCTAGGGGGAAAATTAGTTGAATATTCTCTATTTACTACACATGGTTTGCCATCAAACCGTTAAGGTTTTAATTTGTAGTTCCTATTTTTAGCATTTTCCTTCAAACAAAAAAGTGAGTCAATTGAAAGACACATGTCATTCTTCTGTCTGCAGCAGTTTCAGTGTTTAGGAACCTGAAAAGGCATTATATGTAACTGCCCGAACAAACCCTTTCTCTGAAGCTAAGTGAAACAACAGAAACACAAAATTGATACTTTTAGAAACCGAGTGAGTGCAGTCTCCTTCGCTTTGGTCTTAGTCATCTTGGGAGGATGAACTTTTGTGCTACGATCATTATTTTAAACTTTTTTTATTTTGAGAACTGCCTTCAAAGCCTGAAGCTCATTCTTTTGAATAGCTTTACGTTTTAGGGTAGATTTAATTTTTTTCAAAGAAAAAACATTCCTTTATTTGAAATTGAGAATTTACACCAGGCTTCTATGCAATGAAACACCTTAAATGCAGTTATTCTTTCACCTAATCCTCTCGGTCCATCTCCCATACATTTACTACACATTTCCACTTGGCCATTTCGCAAGTACAATATTTTCAAATCCCACCATTACCTTACTCATAAACTCATCCCTCCTGGATACTCACTTCGGTATGTGACACTGCCACTGAGCCATTTACTCAGGATTAATATTTATTTAATTTTTTTACATCTTTATTGGAGTATAATTGCTTTACAATGGTGTGCTAGTTTCTGCTTTATAACAAAGTGAATCAGTTATACATATATATATGTTCCCATCTCTCTTCCCTCTTGCATCTCCCTCCCTCCCACCCTCCCTATCCCACCCCTCTAGGTGGTCACAAAGCACCGAGCTGATCTCCCTGTGCTATACGGCTGCTTCCCACTAGCTCTCTATTTTACGTTTGGTAGTACCTATAAGTCCATGCCACTCTCTCGCTTTGTCACAGCTTACCCTTCCCCCTCCCCATATCCGCAAGTCCGTTCTCCAGTAGGTCTGTGTCTTTATTCCTGTCTTAGCCCTAGGTTCTTCATGACATATTTTTTTTCTTAAATTCCATATATATGTGTTAGCATACGGTATTTGTCTTTCTCTTTCTGACTTACTTCACTCTGTATGACAGGCTCTAGGTCTATCCACCTCATTACAAATAGCTCAATTTCATTTTTTTTATGGCTGAGTAATATTCCATTGTATATATGTGCCACATCTTCTTTATCCATTCATCCAATGATGGGCACTTAGGTTGTTTCCATCTCAGGGCTATTGTAAATAGAGCTGCAATGAACATTTTGGTACATGACTCTTTTTGAATTATGGTTTTCTCAGGGTATATGCCCAGTAGTGGGATCTTTTTTCTTTTGCCCTACCCAGGTACGTGGGGGGTTTCTTGCCTTTTGGGAGGTGTGAGGTCTTCTGCCAGTGTTCAGTAAGTGTTCTGTAGGAGTTGTTCCACGTGTAGATGTATTTCTGGTGTATCTGCTAGTGTTGGAGGGTCTCCTGCAGAGCTGGGGGGAGGCTGTGGCTCACCACGGGGACAGGGGCAGTGGAAGTTCTGGGAAGTACTCCTTGGCTTGAGCCCTCCTGGAGTCGGCCATTATCCCCACCCTCAGGATTAATATTTATGAGTCATCCTTGTATTTTCCTGTTTTACATCCACACCCCGTTAATTACATTTCATTAATATTCCTAAATAAACTAATAGTGCCTTATTTTAGACATTTAATATCTCTTACCTGGACTGTTACAATAGTCACCTAGTTTGTCTCTCTTTTTAATCTTATCCTTAAAAGCCTTCTTATTCTCACTAAAATCTAGATTTGTTCATGTCATTCCCAATGGTTCCACCTTGCCTACAGGAAAAAAAAAAAAACCCAGACTCCTTAGGATGGCATTTAAGACACATCATGATCTGACCCCAGCCTCTCACTAGTATCAATAAGAAGGTGTATGAAAAAATAGATACTTTTACAATTGCACTAAAAGTTTCCCCCTTCAAGAGTAGATTTAATTTTTGAAAGCAGTGAGAAACCACTTGGAGCCAATGTTGAAGAATACATAAAGTGATCAAACTAAGCATTATTTTAGTCAGTAATGGTGTGATTCTAAACTAATAAGAGTGTTTTTATATGTAGCCCATTAACTGGCTGCAAATGCATCTCCTAAACAAGTGCATCACCCTTGGATTAACAATAGAACTACCTAAGGCAACCCCTTTGAAGGTTAATGGTTAGTAGGCTACAAATGTTCCAAAGCCTTTTATCCCGGGGTAATATTGCATATACTTTCACAAGACTTTTTTCATAGCATTTCTGGAGATATTTTAAAGGAAAGATTTTGGAGGAAATATTCCATACGGATGACAAATATGCCTTTTGAGGAACAAATGGAGAATGTCCTACAAAAGAAAAAAAAGGAAATTCCTTAGTACTTGGAAAAGTTAATACCTTTATTTTGTTGCTGCTGCTGCTACTGTTGTTTTAATATTTCCATGTCCAAGTGGAGGGTCCCAGAATAACTGCCTATGCACTGTTAAATCCTGCTGAGGATTCTACAGTTTTTGACAACTGTAATATTTCTTTCTAAATGGCCAGGTCTGTATTGCAACCGTACCTGGGATGGATGGTCCTGCTGGGATGACACACCGGCTGGAGTGCTCGCCCAACAGCACTGCCCAGATTATTTTCCGGACTTTGATGTAGCAGGTAGAGTACTTATTTTTATTGTATATTTTGCTGTGAATCTTTTAGTGTTTTTCTAGTTCTGAAAAGAAAATCAGATACAAAATATACTACCAAGTCATATTCTATGCAGTTTAGCACATTCTGAAGAATTTCCATAAATGAAATATTACCCGGTTGTCTAAGATTGCAAGCTGCCCTTATTTTTTAAGTCACATTGCTGATCAGTTATGCCCCTTAGTCATAAATTATATTAAATGTTAGATAAAAATGAAAATTTTATATATTTAATATTAAATTTTAATAAAAAAGTAATATTTCTAAAACTGACCAGTTTTATTTAAATGTGTAGTTTTAAAAATTTTTCAGTTGTCTCACATTTGATGACTTATGCAAATGCTTGATGTAGAGTTTGTGCGTACTGGGCTGGTAGAACAAGCATAATGGAAATTTGATGTAACCTTGAAAATTGTATAAAACTGTCATGTGTAGGGAAGATAAATTAGAAAGTGGTAACTCTAGACATTTACCAGATTTCTGCTCCAACAGTAGATTATTAAAATATGCTCAGTAAATAAGACCAGTTAAATTAAAATGGATTGTAGTAACCCAGCTGTGTGCCCAGCCCAACATGAACAGCCAACAGATGTGTGTTAAGTGAATTTGGTGTTCCTTTTATAACTAAAGTTAATTAGTAACATGGGAATATTTTCATTGACTATCATTTTTTAACTTTCCAAAACATTTTCATATATAGTATCTCATTTTATACTCACATAATATTTGACATAAAACCACAAGTGAACCCAAGTCTCCTGAGCTCTTACCTATCCCTTTCTTTCTAAGTAAGGGCAACAGTCTTGGAAAAGCATTTGAGAAATAATATTTCTAAATCACCGTACAAACTTATGCAGGTTGAAGTACTTTCAGAACTTTCAAGGGGGAACATCGTTTTCCTTCAGGCCTCAGTCTAGCCTCACTGTTCTGGTTAGAAGTTGGGCGGCGATGCTTAGGCAGGAGTACCAGGTGCCAAGTGAATTGAGAAGCTAGGGGCCGAAGTTATGCGTCTTAGTATTGTCGTCTATCCAAATAGAATGGAAGTCTGGAATCCAAGATGCTCAGTGGTGAGTGGTCGGGAGCCAAGGCAAAGGGATGTGTGAAAAGTAGGTATGAGGTTGTTCAACGGCCTCAATCCAGAGATTAGGCACTTGGGGCTGGGAAATGGGATTGGATAGCTGCTAGTAGTAAGTGATTCTCAACTTGGCTGGGAAGCTGGGGAGCTTTAAAAAATAATCCTGATCCCTGGTACCATCCCAGATATTCTGATTTAGTTAGTTTGGAGTGCAACCTGGACATCAAGATGTTTAAATGTTCTTGTGACTAAATTGTGCAGCCAAGATGAAACTGTGTTAAACAATAGAGTCCAGATAAGAAAGTGGCTGGTACCAGCAAAGCCCAGCCAGTGCACTCAATAGCTCTTCCAGTAAGAGGCAGAGCACATTATCCGATGAGACTGATACAGGCCATAGAGGAAAGAGGGTCCCCGAGGAATAAAAGGTAGTAGCTGCCCAGCTCCAGGAACTGTAGGTATCAGGGCCAGAAAAGTTCCGTTCTAGGAGACTGGATAGAAAATCTGTCCCATTGAAATAAACCTGGGATTAAGATACTTAAAAAGGAATATAATCTTCATTACAAAGGAGACCCTGATGCTGGAACTAAGTGGGTCCAGCTACAGACACACTGCATAAGTCCCTGTTAAGGGGTGAGATTTGTTCCTGAGAGTACAGCAAGCCTGAGCCTGTAGGAAGCGTTCAGGTGGCTCTAGATGTTGAAACTAGAGCCACTAGTTGACTGGTGTGGCGACTGAGCTCCCAGAACACAGGTCATTCCACTTCAAGCTCCGTATCTCTTCTAATAAGATGTGGAATAACAGAGCACAGTAACCCCGCTGCACCTCATGGTGCTCATCTTCTTCCTCCTTCCTTCAGTGACCTCTAGGGAATAGGGCCGGGGAGAGAGTTAGAACACCCAATTACAGGAAGGGGACACCAGGGTCCTGACAAGAGAGGATCATCTTTGAATTATCTGGTCTGGACTAGAGGTAGCATTTTGAAGAGAAGACTCAGTGTTTGTTTTTTGCTTAAGAGGTTATGGAAAAATCAACCTTCTCTTTCAGATTTTTCCAAGACTTGTTGGGTCAGACTTTCTACCACATTTCAGGGTTAACCAGCCCATCTGGTTACCCACACTTATTGTCTGTGAATGACGAGAGGTTATTTCCCGCAGACTGAAAGTGAGGACATGAGTTAAAATGGAAAACAGCAGTCATACAATAAAATTTATGCAAGAAAGTTCCTGGAATCCAGATTAGAGCAATGAGTCTAGCCCTGAGACAATGTTTGGGAGATGCTTTTTGTGCTTCCTTCAAGAATGAGATACAAAGTGTGACCCCAGTGAGAAGAGATCATGGAAATGGGATTGCAGTGGGGCACTTTTAAAACCAGCTCAGGCCAGCCACTTCTAGGAATCCTCATTTTGTTGGAAGAGTTGGGATGTGAAGAGAGAAAGGGCTTAGTGCTGTGCCCTGCTCAGCACTACCTTCCTGTAAACTCTAACCAAATGCTATTTGATAGTAGTCCCCCAGGTCTTTATCGACTGTTCCCAATAAATGATGCTTCATTAATCTTGATCTGACAGCCACATTAGAGGTAACATGAGTGGCACAAAGAGCTGTCTTGCAATCAAGGCTGCAAGGCCCGTTCCAAAGCAGCAACGGGCCCTTGCCAAAGTGGCTGTAATTATTAACTAAAAGGCAAGTTTGGGGTCACAAAACAGATTTCCAGGCATAGATCCATCTTTTCAGCCTGATTTTTAGATTCCTCTCAGCTGGGGGACAAATCCACTTTAAAAGAAGGGCAAACCTTAGAAATACCTATATTCAACAAGTTTAAATTCTTTAGTATTTTACCGTTGACCCAAGCTGTACCTTGATGATACATACAACAGTTGAATGAAATGACAGATTTCATTTTAAACAAAGTGCTTGGTAAAAGACAGGTAGGTAATGAAAGAGTGTATAACAGTATTGAAATTCCAAAGAGGCTGAGAGTCTGAAGGAATATGCTAGAGTATAAAAAGCAAATCCTTATTAGGAGGGATTTAAGGGCAGGAGTCAAACACTCAATCAGCAGTAATGGGACAGAGCCAAGGTGGCCAACATATGGCTGAGGACAGTGATTCTCAACCCTGATACCCTTTGGAATCAATGAGCTTCTTAAAGATGCTGGTGTCTGGCACCTCTTCAGATTAATGGAACACAAATCTCTGGGGACTGGGTTTTGAGCATCTGGAAGAAGCTCCTCCATGTGAAGCTAGACCGAAGGAAGCATGCTGCCTCTTCACCGGGCAGTTCAAACTTAGACTATTTTAGAGGGAAGTGCCAATCTCAGAGCACATGCAGAGAGGCTTCAGGCTGTGAGGGGACAGCATGTGTGGTGAGAGTGAATAGGGGTGTTTGGTTTAGAGAAGGAAGTCAGAGTAGACGTAGCCTTCTGTCAAATATTGAAAGATTTGCCAGGTGGAGGATGACAGATTCTTGATAGCTGCAACAGTTAGAACCAGGAAATGCCTAGATCCAGACCTGAGTTAAATCCAAACAAAACAATATTTCCTACAGTGCCGTCCGTGATTGGAAAGGACTTCCTCAGGAGGAACACCCTCTTCCTTAGAACACGTTACCCTATATAGCTGCATAACTTTGTAAAAACCAAATTATATTCATTTCAATAAAACAAAACTACTTTCTAACAATATGTTAAAGATAAAATGCTGCATTACAAACCACTTTTTTTTTAATTGCAAGTAAGCTTAGAATGGTCGTTGACAAAGCATTAACTAAATCATTGACCAGTTTTCAACATCAATTTTTCCCTGCTGATTAGTGCTAACCCTTTTGGAAACATTGTTGGTGTCCAGTGGTGATTCTTTAAATAGTTTTTGTCCAATGGCAGTCACAGTAAATTCGCAATTTAAAAGTTTTCTACTTAACATTGAAACAGATTTACATTAAGCAATGATGATTCTAATAGGCGCTTTAAAACACCTTTTGTTTGAAAAATGTGTTTTTTCATCCATTTTAAATCATTGTTGGAGTAGATATATTACAAACAAGTCTACAATTTTCAGTTTAAATCTTGTGCTGAGTTTGGTAGTATCTGTTTCATTCATACAATGAAAAATTATGAATTTCACCCTAAAAACTGGCAAAGTTAAAATAATTTTCATACTAGCTCTTAGCATGTTGATTTGACTAACCACAACTTCTGATAGAAAATTATTTTAAATGTTATCAGATCTAAGTAATATTTCAGCAAAATAAATTTTTTAACATTGTTTCTTAGCCTTTAAAACAATGACAAATATTAGTATATGATTCTGATTTCCATATCCTCGTGCTAAAAGTAAAACTCCAGAAACCATATATAAAAGGGTTTTCCATAGGTGTGATAGCTCTTTGCCTTTGCCAATGAAGAACAATCCTTCAAAAACATTATCCCTATGAAACTATCAAAAATAAAAACTGTGTGAGGATTGCAAACACACTGGTAAAATCTCTTTTCATATTTTACCAGTTCAGGATTGTTATATGATCTCTAAGCAATAAACGCATTGGAGAGGTACTTTGGAGAACTAGAAAAAGTCTGAATAACTCAGAATAAGTTTGGCAAAGCAAAATGGAGATAGCAATGCTTCACACGACTTTGCTGAAGCTAAATTGAAGCAATGTATATTAAAGCATCCTGTCTAATGCAGGATTCGAGGTAGTCTCTATTGACATTCAAGTTCTATAAAGTGATTAACACTTTGCAATGGCTTTTAAGCTTTAATTTATTGTTTTTCCTTCTTGTTATTTTGAGATAGTAAGTTTTGTTTCATTAACAGAAAAAGTTACAAAGTACTGTGAGGAAGACGGGCTTTGGTACACGCACCCTGGCAGCAACATATCCTGGTCCAACTATACTATGTGTAACGCTTTCACTCCTGAGAAGATGCAGGTAGGTTCTATTTCAAATTTCAGTATTGGGTGAGAATGCCATCATCTGTGCACGGAAATTTATGCCTAATTGTAAAACACCTGCTACCAAGACGCCAACTATTTTGTAGAAGGAAATCAGATAATGACCTGTCAATTCTAGGGACTCTGTGAAGTGGCACTAGAGAAAATGATGTTTTACTTCTTGGTTGGCATTCTGTCAGTGAGAGTTCTGTGAGCATGTGGAATCAGGCCATTTGTGGCAAGGGGAACGTGTCCATGGAGCAAATGATGGGATTCCCTGCAGTGCCAGACATTAGGCAGCATTTCCAGGAACTGCCTTAACATCTCTTCTCCTGAAAGAGTTGCAAAACTACAGATTTCTCCACAAGTCACCAGCTAACGGTTGTCCACATCCCTGTCCTGAGATGTCTATGACGGTTTTACTATCAAGCCTTGAAGGAACTCTAAGAATGGGGCTTCTCATCAGCGCACTGATAAGCGTGTGGCTGTTTAGATTATTTTCAGTGGAAGTCCATTCTAACTTGCTACTTCTTGTGTCTTACTGGCTGTTAAATAATTTTACTATCTTAGCTTAGAAACATTTAAGCCCGTGGGGCAGGGCGGGGGAGTGGGGGGCAGATAGCTACTGCCTTCTTCAGATGCTTCAGAAATCTGAAAAGATCATTAAGTCTACCACCAGCCTCCTCTCCCTACAGAGCTGGGAGAAACCGTTGGTCAGCGTTTAGCACACAGGGCATCTCTGCACAGCCCTGGTGGCTGCAAGAGAAACCTATTGTTTCCTTCAAAGATAGGCCTGTATGCTCAGTTATTGCGAAGTTGGAAGCTATACGCACATCGGTGCTTTTGTTTCCTATAAAGAAGCTTTATGAGTATAGAAATTTTTCTTTCCATTAAAAACAAAATAAACAACAATTAAAAACAAAGAAGATGAATAGATAGCTTAGAGACCAGTTGACTAGAGGGACATCTCGTCACAGACACAGGCTGAGGGCACCAAAGCCAGTTACCGCTTCCACAAATTGCTAAGTCACCCCTGAGAGTCAAGACACATGCCTACATCCTAGAGCTATTTATTTAATAAGGTCTGATTGAAATGACGTGTCAATGAGTAAGGAATTTCCTGAATGAATGCTGATTACTTTACAGCAAAAAAATTTAACTCTTTTAACTGCATTGTTAGAAAGAGTGCACATCAAAATAAACAATTCTCAGTGCTGCCACATTTGACCTCTTCACACACTCTGGCCACATCTGAGAAGGAAATAAAGTATTTTAAGAATAAATACTCCCCTCTAGGCACCTAACATAATGATTGAAATTCTATGCACAAATTTTCCATCTATATACAGGCCAAAAAAAAAAAGAAATCAACCTAGAATTTATTTAAATAAAAAAACAAACACTTCTCAGTCTTAAGAATGATACAAAAATGGCAAATAAATTATGAGCTGTTGATTTAACCTTACACATTTAGACAATTCTATTTCAGAAGCGTAAATATTTTTTAAAGTATTCTAGAGGCAACTGAAAGAAAATGAATTAAATTATATAAAATTTCCTTACAAATAAAATATGCAGAGATAAAAATAAAATACTGGCATGCCTATATATCCAAATTAAAAACAGTACTTTAAATGGCAAGGGGACTCAATATGGTAAACTATTTAAAAGGGAAAACTGTTAGAAAATGCTACACCTGTTTTTGTCTAGTGGGAAAGTTAGAAAAAGAGCCAGAAAATGAATTCCTGGGGAAAAAAGACAGGAGCTGAGTGTTTTCTTGCAAAGATTCCTAAATACCTCCTAAGAAGGGACCTACAAGCTATACTGAAGTTTTTATCAGTTCTAGGTATAAACCAACTATTCCAGATTTACTATCATTACCTGCAAGGATAAAAAGCACTGTTAGCAGAGCAGTATCAACAATGAAACTGACGAACAGTATGTAAAAGCCTAGTGAAATGATGCAACCACAATTCAGGATAAGTTGACACGTTCATTTTGAAACTCTAAGGCCTACAAGGCAATACCTGTTTCTGTCTAGCAATAATGCACATAACCAAACAAAGGGCTCTGTTTTGTGAGCCTTTTAAGCAGAATTAGTGTTTCAATCTCAGACCCTTCACAAGGAAATTGATAAGAATCAAAATGTTCAAGGGTAATGATTTGTACATAAATGGTGCGTTTCTCCCAGGAATTCAAAGAACTCCATAGAAATTTTCCAGCTTATCTACACTGCATTCACATTCATACCAGGACCCAATAAGTTACTGAAAATACCTTAAGTTCCTCCCACAACCCAATAACCTGTTGTGGGAGGGAACTTAACACCAGAAGCCGAGATTATGTTGTCCTCCTTGCAAGCCATTGCCCTCTCTGAGTCTCTGGTTTTTTTCACCCGCAAAATGGATATTACAGTCTCTTTTTCTCCCAGACAAAATAGAATACAGGGTGCCCAGCTCTGAAAACAAGTTAGGTGCGTAGGTGCTACCTATCAGTAAATAAAGAAGGAAATGATCCACTATTGTCAGAGAAGTGTCATAGGTCCACCCGCCCCTAAATGTCTCTCCCATTGGCATCATAAACATAAAAGGCAACGTTGGAAAATATAACAATGTGGAATAACATAAGTAAAGAACTTAGATTTGAATGCTGAGCTATGTCTACTGCTGGTCAAAGATTATACCTAAGAGGTGCTATTTCTTTTCAATTTGGAACACACATTTTAGTTTGTTGAAAATTAGAGTTAGGGATTCATTGTATTTTTTTTCCATATCACTGTTCAACTGACCCAGCAACATTTATTGAAAAGACCATCCTTTCCCTACTGCCCTATAGCATCACCATTATCATATATCAAGTGACCATACACGTCACTACATGCTTCTGGACTGCGTTGCACAGGTCTATTTGTCTCTCCTTGCACCAGTATCACACTGCTGGATTCCAGTGGCTTTATAACAAATGATGCTCCATAGAGTAGGTCTTACCACTGTGTTCTTCTTCAAGATTGTCTTGGCTATATTTTTTCTTTGTATTTTCAGTGCAAATTTTAGAAGCAGTCTGACAGATTTTACATGCAAAGAAACCTTGTGATCAGTTTGAAAATTTTGAGATCTTTATCTTCCAAACATTGAATAGAATATATCCCTCTATTCACCTCTGTCTTTAATATCGCTCAATAATGTTTTATAGATTTCTGTGTAGAGCTCACACGCATCCTTCTGCAGATTTTTTTTTAAGTTATTTATTTATTTATTTTTGGCTGCGTTGGGTCTTCGTTGGTGCGTGCGGGCTTTCTGTAGTTGCGGCGAGTGGGAGCTACTCTTCCTTGTGGTGCACAGGCTTCTCATGGTGGCTTCTCTTGTTGTGGAGCATGGGTTCTAGGCATGCGGGCTTCAGTAGTTGTGGCTTGCGGGCTCTAGAGCGCAGGCTCAGTAGTTGTGGTGCACGGGCTTAGTTGCTCCGCAGCATGTGGGATCTTCCCGGACCAGGGCTCAAACCCATGTCCCCTGCATTGGCAGGCGGATTCTTAACCACTGTGCCACCAGGGAAGTCCCCCTTCTGCAGATTTATTCTCAAGCATTTGATTTTTTTAATGCAATTGTAAATGCCACATTTGAAATTTTATTATTTGTTGTTTATGTATTAAAACTTCTCATTTTTATATCCAACAATTTTTATAAAACTCACTTATTAATTTTAGTAATTTATAAATTTTATATGTATTGTATTATATCAGCTGCAAATAATAACAGATGGATTTCTAGGTAGCCATTAAATTAATCTACTTTCTGTCTCTAAGAGATTTGCCTTTTTTGGACATTTCATATTAATAGGATTATACAATATGTGGGTTTTTGTGACTGGCTTCTTTCAGTTAGCTTGATGTTTTCAGTGTTCGTCCATGTTATAGCATGTGTAAGTACTTCATTCCTTTCTATGGCTGAATAGTATTCCATTCTGTGGACAAACCACATATACCAGTTGATGGACATTTATGTTATTTCCACTTTTTTTTTTTTTTTTTTTTTTTTGGGGTTCGCGGGCCTCTCTCTTTTTTTGCCTCTCCCGTTGCGGAGCACAGGCTCTGGACGCGCAGGCTCAGCGGCCCTGGCTCACGGGCCCAGCCGCTCCACAGCATGTGGGATCTTCCCGGACCGGGGCATGAATCCATGTCCCCTGCATCGGCAGGCAGACTCTCAACCACTGCGCCACCAGGGAAGCCCCTAAACATTTTGTGTACAAGTTTTTGTGTGCACATATGTTTTCATTTATCTTGGGTCGTCTTTTTCTTGATAAGTCTTGTTAAGGGGTATTGAAATTATTTTTTTTAAGAACTAGGTTTTGTCTTTGATCCACTCAATATATATTCAAGTTCTCTTTATCATTTCTATTTCCTTTCTTTTACATTCTTAAAGTTTAATTTTCTTTAGATGGAAATTTAGGTCATTGATTTTCAATCTTCTTTTCTCACATATGCATTTTTCTTTAAACTTCCCTCTATGCACAGCTTCATCTACATCCAAAAAGTTTTGGTGTGTCGTTGTGAGTTCTTCTTTGATCCAGTGTTTATTTAGAAATATATTGTTTGCTTTTCAACAATATGAAGGTGTTTTTTAAGTTATCTTTTTATTAATGATTTCTAGAGTATTATGGTCAGTGAAGATGCTATTTAAGATTTTAATTATTTGAAATATATTCATTTGCTTTACTGACTAGTGTATGTCAATTTGGATATTCTTTGTGCATTTGAAAAGAATGGGTATTCTGCAGATGTTGTGTGCAATGCTTATTATATGTGAATTAGTGAAGTTTGTTGAGCATGTTGTTCAAATCTTCTATAGATAGATTTTTCCTCCCTGTGTTCATTCTGTTGATTACTAGGAGCTGTCAGTTTTTGCTTTATGCTCTGTGTGGTTTGAGTTTATATTATTAGGTGCATAGACATTTAGCATTGCTGTATCATTCTGACTTAATATCTGGGCTCGTATGATATCACACCAGTTTTCTTATGGTTAGTGTTTACCTGGGCCATCTTTTTTCATCCTTTCACATCCAATATTTCTGTATCCCTGTATTAAATAATGTTCCTTACAACATATAATTGCTTTAAAAATCATCTATTCCAACCTCATGATTTTACAGATGAGGACTACTGCAGTCTGGAAAATTGAAGTGACTGGACCTATGAGTGTCACACAAACACTTAACGATAATCCTCTGAGTAAAGAATGCTCTGATGAATCCCATCTTCTATTCTTCCCACCATGTCATGCATATTCCAGTAAAACTGATATTCTTAGGAAAGTTAATCTATTAATCCAATTTATAATTCAATATAATTTAATTCTCTGAAATATTTGTTATCATCTTAGTCATTTTTTTAAAGGAGAAAAACATTTGTTGATTTACACTATTTAAAAATAAACGTTTTCGGGCAGAAATTGAGACAGATGTAGAGAACAAATGTATGGACACCAAGGGGGGAAAGTGGTGGGTGGTGGTGGTGGTGTGATGAATTGGGTGATTGGGATTGACATGTATACACTGATGAAAAAAAATAATAATAAACTGTTTTCCCTCTTCTATAATAATTTATTCACCTATCTGCTTTAGTAACTGGTTTTGTTGTTGTTGTTACAGAATGCATACATTCTGTACTACTTGGCTATTGTGGGTCATTCTATGTCGATGTTCACCCTGGTGATTTCCCTGGCGATTTTCATGCTTGTTAGGTAAGTACATCTATAGCATCTGCCTTCTATTTTCTTCTCTTAGGTACTAAAATAAATGGTATACTCTGCAAGAGTGTTGGGCAGGGAGAAGTCTGCTGATTACAAGACATGTAACACTGGGAGTCATGAAGTAGCAAGAAAAATGAAATTAATTAAAATATTTTTTTAACCCTATCTTTGAGGAAAATAGGATGGATACATATAATTTTCAAAGGCGATATGCCTCCTTCCCAAAATGAAATAATCCTGTGAGCCCGTAAATACACTGCATTAACATGGTAAAGTTCCACTTACCATGGCTAAGCTTCCATGAAGTATTGAGGAAATAATCCTCCTCCTTCTTTTACCCTCACTCTAAAATATGGAGGTGGCCACAAGTTCAAACACACCCTGCTTAATTATGAGCTGTACTGTAAGTGGTTTGGGCCATAAGAGAAGTGGGGCTGGTAAGGCCATGATCATGTTCAGCCAGAAAAGGAAGTTTCTTTTGGCCTTAACTAACTCAGCCAGAGTCAAGGAGAACCTCTAGAAGAAGATGGCCTGTTGTCAAGTGTCAGTTTTTTGCCCTTGCACACCTACCATTGTTAACTGAAAGTGTCTTGTAAGCACTGTAAGAAACAAAATTCCAATGAGGGTTTCTATTCTGAGGCTGTGTCCATACAAATGATTGCATTACCTATTGCAAAATGATTAAGTTGATATAGATACTGATTTTACAATAATGGAAAATTTAAAATATTCTATAGTTTTAGGAATGACCACAATGTATGTGAGATAGTAACATGTTAAATTTGATCCTAAATACATGTCCTAAATCTCGTGGCATTTTTTTAAATCAAAGGCAGGAGGCATGCTACAGTGCTGTTTCCTTCCACTGATACTCTTTTTAGTGATATTATACAAATGATTAAGAAAAGTTCATAGGCACAGACTACAAATCTCCACACTTAAAAGATGTGATATGTAATTAAATGTATAGTGATTCATATATAAAATAACAATCTTAATTTGACTTTTGTTAAAATATTGCCATGATAATACTAGAAAAAAATTAAACCAAGGGGAGAATCACACTTACCACACCCTTAATACAACTACAATTATTCTTTCCCTTGACCCCTTTTTTTTTTTTTTTTTGGTGGTACGCAGGCCTCTCACTGTTGTGGCCTCTCCCGTTGCGGAGCGCAGGCTCAGCGGCCATGGCTCATGGGCCCAGCCGCTCCGCGGCATGTGGGATCTTCCCGGGCTGGGGCTCAAACCCGTGTCCCCTACATCGGCAGGCGGACTCTCAACCACTGTGCCACCAGGGAAGCCCTCCTTGACCCTAATTTTAATCTTTGCCTATAACTTACATCATAATTACATATTGTATTATGTCAACATCATCAATTTATGTTGATTAAGCAATATAACTGAATAGCAAGTTTTTAACTGAATAGCAAATAATAACAAATAAGCAGAGAGTGAGCTTCTTCCATATTTGGTTTAACAGGAGAAAGACTGATAAAGCAACAAGACATGAAGGATTAATTATTAGAGTAATTTTTTCAATTATAGTCAGAATACAGCAGAGTAAACACATAGCATGATTAATCTTTGAATGTCTATTCATTTTTCAACTACACTTGACCACAGAGCAAAAATACATCATCATGGCTCTCGTATAACTTTGATTAAAAAGTCTGTCACTAAAAGTCTATTCTTTAAATTTGTAACTCTGCAATTAATAAATGTACACAGGACTTTAAAGATTAAAAAATGTCGAGGGAGATCTCTTAGTTCTTCTCCAGTCACTTAAATAAGTGATGAGGTCTGAGAGCCAAATCAGCAAAGAAAGTAAGAATGTTCTTTAAGTAATTTCTCTGTTAAGCCACTAAAGATGGGGGTTTAAAAGTGTAGCACATAGGCAAAGAGAAATATTTCTCAATTCTAGTTAGTCCCCAAACAAAATTAATCTGGTAAAATCCTTGGGAGTGGGGGCATACTATCTAGGAAGCACAGATTTTGCCCTTACTGTCTCTGTTTCAAGAACCTTCCAAACAGTAACTTAAGTCTTGGGTGGAAAAACATGTCTTATTGAGGTAGAATCTGAATATAACAATGGGAAGACACAAAGTGAAACAGTTGGTTCTCTAGGGTACACACAGTAAAAGGTGACTAGGATACAAAAAACACACATGCTGAGATGCTAAATTTTCAAATCCAGAAGCAGTCATGTCTGATTTTTATGCCTGTTCTTAATCTTACCTTAAATCTGCCCAAACTAAAACTATCAATGCCATCTGTTTTCCTTAAAGTATGTTTCTAATTCGTCACATTTTTTCTTACATTTGGATTTCAGAAATATTCAAAGTGACTGTGACAATAAAAATAAAATAACTGATTTATGACTGCATTTATCTTTTAATTAGAAATATTTTCCCAGGTGTTTTTCAAACACTCAACATCACCCTTGTGATATTTACTGCACATTACAAGGGGAGGTTTTACAATTTATGTACTTAAATGGCATCATCTGTGTGAAACCAGAGCAAGCAATAATCATCACTCCCTTGCTTAATTCTGCACGCCCAGGGTTGAGTTATTTTGCAAAATCCAAATAATCAATTTCATAAAACGTTCATGAAACCAAAATGAGAAGTTACACTCAGCTCTGCTTCTGAGACCTAATGCCTCATTCATAATCATCCCATTGAAATCTCACTCTAAAATCCTAACATGTGCCTTCTAGGGTCTATGAAAAGGAATAACCCTGCAGGTGTCCTTCTCAAACCAGCAGGCCAGGAAGGCCTGCAGAGGAGTTACTGAATATATGGGAGGCTGTAGAACTGCCAATACTTTGCTAAAAATCCTGGGGTATTACTCAGAATGAGATCATCACGGCATGCCGCTAATCTTAATGTTATTTTACTGTGAGCATTCAGGAGAAGATAAAAGGCAGGACTGTGTAACCTGAAACCAATAAGAATCACGCTCCCTGTGCTATTGGAAAATGATTGTAGAAATATATATAAAGTCTTCATTATTTTAAAAGAATAAAATTGAACTTCTAGGCCCTCTTCAAGATAAAGGAAAATTTTTTCAGTGATTTAAATCATAGAAAAGGCAATACTGAAGATCTTAACTGTACAAAGTGGCAGAGTTAAAATAATATTCAGGATGATATACAGGTTACTTCTGATCCACCAATTAAAGGTTGAAAACAGCCTTCTTAGGATATTTGGTTTAGGACCTATACTGGGAAAAATAGTTAGGAGTAGTACCATGGAGAGGAATTAAATAGAACCATCAAATTACTTAAGACTCCTCACGACTGCCAAGAGTTAAATGTCAATAAGAGGGTTAAAATAAAAATACCTTTACAGAAGACTGGCTTGAGAAAGTCACATAAGTGGACATTTGGGTTTGTTTCCTGCCATTTTAAGCAAGTTTGCAATAAATTCACTTATCTCATCAGTTCCATGTACAATTTATCAATTTACATTTCTGCATAATAATTCTAAATACTAAAATATCTCACTGTTTTTTCTTAAGGAAAGTCCAATAATAGAACATTCATTAACATCCATTTTGACTACTTGGTACCAAAGTACTACTTGCTGATTAAATATTGTGAATATCAATTACTCTTGCCTGAAAGTTAACAGAGATATATGCTGAAAGAGAAGTGTGTTCATTGCATTACATTTTCTATATTACATTACACTGACCACGTTGGCCAAAAAAACAAAAAGTTTTCCACTGGGACCTCTAAAAGGAAGATTGACTCCTCTATTACTCAGTATTCCGTATTATTCTATTTCACATCTTTATAGAGGATGGATAGATAACTATCTTATATAGTATCCTATTATACATCTCTGGCTGCCTTCCTGTTCCTCCAGAGAAACCATTAAATCAATGGCAGCAAAAACAGCCTCCTTTCTCCCAACTCACCCTTGACATGGCAGGACACCAAAGGTAACTATTGGTCATCGCTTGGCACATGTCCACTCATAGAACAGTAGTAATAGGAAAAGAAGCAAGAGTTATGATTGAAAGGGAGTTCCTTAAGGATAAAGATTTTGTGCTAAATCCAAAGATATAAAGTCCTTGTCAGACAGGAAAGATGTATAACATACTGTTCTGAATTTTTCTAGGAGTTTTAATGCAATCCATTTCACATTCCCTCCTTCCCTCACTCCTCTTGTCCATCATGAACAAGGTATGATACCTAAGTAAAGGAAAACTTAAAGTTGTGTTTTGTCCTGTGATATCAAACTGATCTATACAATCTGCAAGACTCAAGGCAAATATTAAGCACCTTCTCATACAACTTCAAGATCCCACAAGCACACGTATACACGCATGGGATACCAATAACTTGAAACAAAGTTTTCAATGTGAAAGATTTATACCAGGTAAATTAAAATCATAAATATGACATTTAGCTTTAACTTTAAAGTGTGACATCTTGAGATTCATATGAAAGTAAATCATTATCCTCACATGTGAATGACACCTTGATTGGGCCAAGACAGGAGTAGATTATATTGTCTTATCCTCCCACTCTTGGAGAATCTATAGCACTTATAGTTCCCTGTCACTCAGAGTAAGCAACATCCTCTCCATCTAAATACCTGTGGTTTTTTTGTTTTTTGTTTTTATCAAGAGGAATAAAGTAGAGCTCTTTCTATTTCATGCCATTTCTACTAAAGACATTTCAGGTCTGACAGGAAAATGTCCGCTTCTCTCATGTTCATTCAGGCAACAGGATATTTGTATTGAGAACAATTAAACACATAATTTCTTAAGTTCAGTTAGTCCTCTTCAGCATCCTATACCTCTTTCAGAACATTTATTATAATAGTAAATAATTATGTAATGTATAAGGTCCCAGAAAGCAGAAGCTGTCTGTTTTGTTTACCCATGTATCCCTAGCCTCTAAAAGAGGGTTTGAATCAGAGTTGGATACACAGTAATATGTGTTGGATTATTGAAAGAATTTTAATAAAGTACCTTTAACTTGCTTCAAAAAGCTGAGTGTAAATGTCATCAAGTAAGTGTAGTAAAAATTTTAAAACTCAATAAGGGGAAATTATATTGAAATCTTCAAGAAGCAGACTCATATATTAGTCATATTCTTCCTTTGGAACCTGACAGTTTATCCAGCTTTAAACCATCACTTTCTCATTGTGTACATAACACAGTACTGTATATAGGTTTTACGTAATGTTGAACAACAGGATAATGTCCAATATTAAGAATCTGGCAAATGTTCAGTATGATACAAAGTATGAAATACGAGATCATCTAGCATTTAATGTAATTCTCTGTACTGGAAAAACTGTTTAGTGGTCACGGCTCAAAGAAAATTGCTATTATATAAAGATTTTTAATGCAAAAAGAGAGTATTAAGCCCTACTGTGTGTCAGAAGCTGTGCTAGGTACACAAAACAAATTCCTTTAGCATTTCCATTCTAGTAAGAGAAAATAACAGGCAGTAAACAAATATACGATATGTCAGGAGGCAGTAAGTGTTAAGAAGAAAAAAAAACAGGGATACAAGGACCCAAGAGTAAGCTGGAGGTGGAGGAAGTATATTTTATTTAGGGCAGTTCTGGTTTACACAGGAGACTGAACATTAACCAGTTCTGTAAACTAATATCCATTGACAGATTATTGAACCCTACCCAATCCAAAGAAAATCAGGCATGAGAATAACAATGCTGAATGATGCATTCATCCATACTCCTTAGTTATGCATAATGTCAACTGTCGTTGGTTTAAGCCAGGCTGAATCCAATAATGAGAACACAGATATTTGCCTCCCAGTGAGAAGAATTATAAAATGCTATTACGACTGTATGAAAAAGGGCAGGTCAGATGTTTAACAGTTACTTTATGGGAAGAGTTTATGCAGTATAAATGGGCGTGATGTTTTACATAAATATTTTTTTCTTTTTAAAGCCTTAAATTTGTATCCTACTTTTTTTTTTTTTTTTTTCCCCCGGTACGCAAGCCTCTCACTATTGTAGCCTCTTCCGTTGCGGAGCACAGGCTCCGGACGCGCAGGCTCAACGGCCATGGCTCACGGGCCCAGCCGCTCTGCGGCATGTGGGACCCTCCCGGACTGGGGCACGAACCCGTGTCCCCCGCATCGGCAGGCGGACTCTCAACCACTGCACCACCGGGGAAGCCCCCTGCATCCTACTTTCTATAGTACTGTTAAAAAACCAACTAGGTTCAGTTTATTTAACAAAATTTTCTGCTGCTACATAAAGTAGCACATGGTAGTGTGTGTGAGAAAAAGAGAGAGAGGGAGAGAAAGTTCTCCTCTAAACCCCATCTTTACCATTGGCTGCCTACTGCATTCTACTCCTGCTCAACAAGTTGAGGATTTTAAAATATTCTGTATTAACTATTTACTAATACTTGTGCTTCCTGAAGAGTTGAAAAAGGTAGCTACAATAATCAAAATATGCTCTAACAGTTGCCCTTATTGCTTAAAGTTACTTTTTACTACAGATAATTGACAACTCATTTTTCCTTTGATTTGAAAATATAGGAAGGCATTTTCATGACCCATTTTTCCCCAGAATTTTCTTGTCAAAATGCCTGGGATTCTAGCTTTATTCCATGAAGATTTTTTAGGAGTAGTTACTATGATCACTCGTTGGCATCATTAACTGAATGTTAACGTTAAATTTCTCACATTATGCTAAATATTTTTTGACTGGATCAAATATGGTAAACACGAGATTTTAATTCATCTAGGATAATCACTCCAATTTTGTTATAGCCGTCCTGCAGGCTGTCTACATTTGCATCAAAAAGTGAAATAGGAGGGGCTTCCCTGGTGGCGCAGTGGTTAAGAGTCCGCCTGCCGTTGCAGGGGACACGGGTTCGTGCCCCAGTCCGGGAAGATCCCACATGCCGCGGAGCGGCTGGGCCCGTGAGCCATGGCCGCTGAGCCTGCGCGTCCGGAGCCTGTGCTCCGCAGCGGGAGAGGCCACAGCAGTGAGAGGCCCGCGTACCGCAAAAAAAAAAAAAAAAAGTGAAGTAGGATATTCAAACTGATGTTTATTTAGATGAACATTCACACAAGTACACAAGTACAAATTTATGAAGTGGAGGAGAAAGGAATGAAAAATGCAGCAAACCGTTTAGTACGCCAGAGGTGGGGCATGACTGTTCCAACAAGCAGTGCATTTGGATAGGTCCCAGGTCCAAACCACACTGTGCCTCAGCACGAGATCAGATTTGAGACTAGTTAGAATTCTCTGCCTGTGTCTGAGCTCCACCATCAGGAGGACATGGAAAGAAGGAGCCATAGGGTTGATTTCCAGTTAGAATACAAGAAATAAGAAGGTATTAAAAGAAATGGTGAAAGAAAAGGATGACAGGAGAATTAATAAAATCTGTGTATGTGATGGGCCAAGGACATGGATTCAGTCAGGCTGTCAGGCAGCCTTGTTTCTGACTTCAGGCTCTGTTATCCCATTTGCCACTCAATTTCTGCCGGGTTACATCAATAGAGAGTCGACATTTCATCTGAAGCACAATTCCAAACCCTAATAGTTTCTCTTGTAAAAGTCCTTCTCTTAATTAATTTTATGACATTTGTTATCATTGAAAGTGATTTTTATCACTCACTCTTTTAGTTATTGTAGGAAGTCACCCTGAGGACTGAAAACTATGAGCTACCGGAAAACTGTCTGTAAAAATCAGGCAGAAAGGTAGTAATGAGTCTTAAAGATGAAAACAGCTTCACTTATTTCTATATGTTCTTTCCTCTGTTGCTAAAGAAAATATTAAAAATATTTACAAAGTGGGTTTTTTTTTCCAGGTACGTCAACATTTTGACACTGATTAATGCTTTCTGTTACTTTTTCCTTCCAGGAGCCTTAAGTGCCAAAGGGTGACTCTGCACAAGAACATGTTTCTGACTTACGTTCTGAATTCTATCATTATCATCATCCACCTGGTTGAAGTTGTGCCCAACGGAGAGCTCGTGAAAAGGGATCCGGTAAGCACTACATGATTTGTTTTTAATTTTATTTTCAAGGATATAATAAGTATAAATAGTGAATATGGTGTCATTGTCTTAAGCAGCTGTTTATATATGTAATAATACTTTACAATTGAGTTTTGCATTTAACAAGGCACATCATTTCTGTGTAATTATTGGAAGTAATGGTTATATGCTATAGTAAAGGGCTGGGAATGATAAAGTTATAGCCCAATAAGAATCATACCGTAAATAATGAATTTTCATGACTAATCAATAATTTATTAACATCTATGGGAAGTTCACTGAGCACATATACTAGGTGTACTAAAGCAGTGCTTTGCAGTGGCCCCAGTGTGTCACTAATGGGTTACAGGTGTGCATAAGTATTAATCCCTCAGCATTCTGGTGCCGAGCTGGTCTTGGGCCAGTCACTTCAGCTGCAAGTAGCTATGCATTTACTCTAGTGATTCATATAAATTTTATCATGTTCTATGTTTGCATGACTTAGAAAAAGATTTAAATGTCCCTAGTTCAGGCACTGTCATCTCCCAGTCTCTGCTAATGGCCCCCATTAACTGAGCTCAACCAGAAACCAGAGGGCGAGGAAGCCCTGAAGGAGATGTGCAAAGCAACTTCTCCAGGCCCAGGAGCTGGGTAGAGAGTGCATTTGAAAGCACAAACAGAAGTTATCCAGCACACAATGAATGGCCAAGGGATATTTTCATTTTTGTTTCTCTGCTTAACTGTGTTATGCAAGCATCTGTAGATAGCCTCATCTTTCAAAACTGGCATTTGACAGCTCTGCCAACCCAATGACAAAAATGCGTGAAATCTGCCCAGGGCGTGCATCCTGCGTGACAGTGGCATGGCATGGGAAAGCAGCTTAATTTGGCTTCTAATGGATCCACAGTGCTAATAATTTTTGCAGTGTGAATACATCCAGAAAGGCATTGTGATCCATCTTTTAAAACCATGGCATCTGTTATTGAGACAGGTTCCTGTCTTAGGTGCAGAATGGGTTTACCTTGATGAGTTTTCGTCTTTCATGTCAACTGATTTTAATAAAAGTAATCTCATTTCACTTAATCCTCACAAGACCCCAGCGAAGGATGGATATTCTCCCCATTATTTTTTTAACATCTTTATTGGAGTATAATTGCTTTACAATGGTGTGTTAGTTTCTGCTTTATAACAAAGTGAATCAGCTACACATATACATATATCCCCATATCCCCTCCCTCTTGCGTCTCCCTCACACCCTCCCTATCCCACCCCTCTAGGTGGTCACAAAGCACCGAGCTGATCTCCCTGTGCTATGCGGCTGCTTCCCACTAGCTATCTATCTTACATTTGGTAGTGTATATATGTCCCTGCCACTCTCTCACTTCGTCCCAGCTTACCCTTCCCCCTCCCCGTGTCCCAAGTACATCCTCTGCATCTGCATCTTTATTCGTGTCCTGCCATCTCCCCATTATTATTATTTTTTTATCTTCTATTTTCTTTTTTTTTAACGTCTTTATTGGGGTATAATTGCTTTACAATGGTGTGTTAGTTTCTGCTTTATAACAAAGTGAATCAGTTATACATATACATATGTTGCCATATCTCTTCCCTTTTGCATCTCCCTCCCTCCCACCCTCCCTATCCCACCCCTCCGGGCGGTCACAAAGCACCAAGCTGAACTCCCTGTGCTATGCGGCTGCTTCCCACTAGCTATCTACCTTACGTTTGGTAGTGTATATATGTCCATGCCTCTCTCTCGCTTTGTCACAGCTCACCCTTCCCCCTCCCGATATCCTCAAGTCCGTTCTCCAGTAGGTCTGTGTCTTTATTCCTGTCTTAGCCCTAGGATCTTCATGACATTTTTCCCCTTAAATTCCATATATATGTGTTAGCATACGGTATTTGTCTTTCTCTTTCTGACTTACTTCACTCTGTATGACACACTCTAGGTCTATCCACCTCATTACAAATAACTCAATTTCGTTTCTTTTTATGGCTGAGTAATATTCCATTGTATGTATGTGCCACATCTTCTTCATCCATTTATCCGAAGATGGACACTTAGGTTGTTTCCATCTCCAGGCTATTGTAAATAGAGCTGCAATGAACATTTTGGTACATGACTCTTTTTGAATTATGGTTTTCTCAGGGTATATGCCCAGTAGCTGCATCATATGGTAGTTCTATTTGTAGTTTTTTAAGGAATCTCCATACTGTTCTCCATAGTGGCTGTACCAATCAATTCACATTCCCACCAGCAGTGCAAGAGTGTTCCCTTTTCTCCACACCCTCTCCAGCATTTATTGTTTCAAGATTTAATGATGGCAATTCTGACTGGTGTGAGATGATATCTCATTGTAGTTTTGATTTGCATTTCTCTAGTGATTAATGATGTTGAGCATTCTTTCATGTGTTTGTTGGCAGTCTGTATATCTTCTTTGGAGAAATGTCTATTTAGGGCTTCTGCCCATTTTTGGATTGGGTTGTTTGTTTTTTTGTTATTGAGCTGCATGAGCTGCTTGTAAATTTTGGAAATTAATCCTTTGTCAGTTGCTTCATTTGCAAATATTTTCTCCCATTCTGAGGGTTGTCTTTTGGTCTTGTTTATGGTTTCCTTTGCTATGCAAAATCTTTGAAGTTTCATTAGGTCCCATTTGTTTATTTTTGTTTTTATTTCCATTTCTCTAGGAGGTGGGTCAAAAAGGATCTTGCTGTGATTTATGTCATAGAGTGTTCTGCCTATGTTTTCCTCTAAAAGTTTGATAGTTTCTGGCCTTACATTTAGGTCTTTAATCCATTTTGAGCTTATTTTTGTGTATGGTGTTAGGGAGTGATCTAATCTCATACTTTTACATGTACCTGTCCAGTTTTCCCAGCACCACTTGTTGAAGAGGCTGTCCCTTCTCCACTGTACATTCTTGCCTCCTTTATCAAAGATAAGGTGACCATATGTGCGTGGGTTTATCTCTGGGCTTTCTATCCTGTTCCATTGATCCATCTTTCTGTTTTTGTGCCAGTACCATACTGTCTTGATTACTGTAGCTTTGTAGTATAGTCTGAAGTCAGGGAGCCTGATTCCTCCAGCTCCGTTTTTCATTCTCAAGATTGCTTTGGCTATTCGGGGTCCTTTGTGTTTCCATACAAATTGTGAAATTTTTTGTTCTAGTTCTGTGAAAAATGCCAGTGGTAGTTTGATAGAGATTGCATTGAATCTGTAGATTGCTTTGGGTAGTAGAGTCATTTTCACAATGTTGATTCTTCCAATCCAAGAACATGGTATATCTCTCCATCTTTTTGTATCATCTTTAATTTCTTTCATCAGTGTCTTATAATTTTCTGCATACAGGTCTTTTGTCTCCTTAGGTAGGTATATTCCTAGATAGTTTATTCTTTTTGTTGCAGTGGTAAATGGGAGTGTTTTCTTGATTTCACTTTCAGATTTTTCATCATTAGTGTATAGGAGTGCCAGAGGTTTCTGCGCATTAATTTTGTATCCTGCTACTTTACCAAATTCATTGATGAGCTCTAGTAGCTTTCTGGTAGCATCTTTAGGATTCTCTATGTATAGTATCATGTCATCTGCAAACAGTGACAGCTTTACTTCTTCTTTTCCGATTTGGATTCCTTTTATTTCCTTTTCTTCTCTGATTGCTGTGGCTAAAACTTCCAAAACTATATTGAATAAGAGCGGTGAGAGTGGGCAACCTTGTCTTGTTCCTGATCTTAGTGGAAATGGTTTCAGTTTTTCACCATTGAGGATGATGTTGGCTGTGGGTTTGTCATATATGGCCTTTATTATGTTGCAGAAAGTTCCCTCTATGCCTACTTTCTGCAGAGTTTTTATCATAAATGGGTGATGAATTTTGTCAAAAGCTTTCTCTGCATCTATTGAGATGATCATATGTTTTTTCTCCTTCAATTTGTTAATATGGTCTGTCACATTGATTGATTTGCATATATTGAAGAATCCTTGCATTCCTGGAATAAACCCCACTTGATCATGGTGTATGATCCTTTTAATGTGCTATTGGATTCTGTTTGCTAGTATTTTGTTGAGGATTTTTGCATCTATGTTCATCAGTGATATTGGCCTGTAGTTTTCTTTCTTTGTGACATCCTTGTCCTGTTTTGGTATCAAGGTGATGGTGGCCTCGTAGAAGGAATTTGGGAGTGTTCCTCCCTCTGCTATGTTTTGGAAGAGTTTGAGAAGGATAGGTGTTAGCTCTTCTCTAAATGTTCGATAGAATTCGCCTGTGAAGCCATCTGGTCCTGGGCTTTTGTTTGTTGGAAGATTTTTAATGACAGTTTCAGTTTCAGTGCTTGTGATTGGTCTGTTCCTATTTTCTATTTCTTCCTGATTCAGTCTTGGTAGGTTGTGCATTTCTAAGAATTTTTCCATTTCTTCCAGATTGTCCATTTTATTGGCATACAGTTGCCTGTAGTAATCTCTCATGATCTTTTGTATTTCTGCAGTGTCAGTTGTTACTTCTCCTTTTTCATTTCTAATTCTATTGATTTGAGTCTTCTCCCTTGTTTTTTTTTTGATGAGTCTGGCTAATGGTTTATCTATTTTGTTTATCTTCTCAAAGAACCAGCTTTTAGTTTTATTGATCTTTGCTATCATTTCCTTCATTTCTTTTTCATTTATTTCTGATCTGATTTTTATGATTTCTTTCCTTTTGCTAATTTTGGGGTTTTTTTGTTCTTTCTCTAATTGCTTTAGGTGCAAGGTTAGGTTGTTTGGTTGAGATGTTTCCTGTTTCTTAAGGTGGGCTTGTATTGCTATAAACTTCCCTCTTAGAACTGCTTTTGCTGCATCCCATAGGTTTTTGGTCGTCGTGTCTCCATTGTCATTTGTTTCTAGGTATTTTTTGATTTCCTCAGTGATCACTTTGTTATTAAGTAGTGTATTGTTTAGCCTCCATGTGTTTGTACTTTTTACAGATCTTTTCCTGTAATTGATATCTAGTCTCATAGCATTGTGGTCGGAAAAGATACTTGATACAATTTCA